TCCATTCTTCCTGATGTGGGCGACTGTCACTCCAGCCCACACACTCTGGCCACATCATTCTGTTCTATTTCCAGAGAAAAGCCCTGCTCCCTCAACCATTTCCTTCTCTCCCCTGAAGGCCTCCTCTTGTCCAGAGCTGAGGTGCTGGAAGCCAGTTCCAGCATGTTATAATTGCAAGAGTTTCATCGAAAGGTTGATGGAACTTGGGGACTCAACAAGGGCTGAGTCACATATGTTGTCACCTGTTGGGAATGGCTAAAGGCATTTCCCCAAACCTGAAAAGAATGATTGTTTGCTACCAGACAGCTAAGGGCACCTTAATCTACATGTTATTGCCTCCTACTGGCCAAACACCTGAACAGCTGGTAGGCAAATTCCCCAAACTGACAATGGATTCTGCCCTTTGAAGTATATATCTCTACCTTGCCTTAGGACAAATTGTGTTAATAAATAGCAAGGGGTCCTGAGACAAGGAGAACTTAGTTCCTTTTGCTAAGTCTTCTCTGACTCTCTATGATGCCTTTCAAAATTATGTTTCGTCTCTGGACTCTTATTTAATTTACGCACAGCCCTTCTCCAGATTTCTGAACCCTTCTAGATGCCAGATCAAGACCACCGGCATTACTGAGGGATCACACAGTTGATCCCAAACGGGGACACTATTAACAACCACATCAGACAACAGGCAACCAAGGCATGTGGTCTCCTATCCAGAGCCCCCCAGTGCTGAGGTCTCATGCTCCAGGTCTTCGTCTGGCACCTCACCATTTCCCAAACTGTTCTGTGGAACATCCGGGAGGTATCAACCAGGCTTCACAAAAACTAGAAGAAACTGAAGATTCCACATTGAAATAACTTTGAGAAACTGAGTTAAACCAAGATAAACAGATGTCCTTAGTGCAGGACTTCCCCTTTCCTCATCACAGCATGTTGCTATCTCCTCTCATGGCCGCAGGACGGCTGTGGCAGCTCCAAGCATAACACACAGAAACAAAGACATCCAGCAGAGAAAGACGTGTCCTCCTATGTGCCCTTTTACCATTCATCCTCAGCATGGAAAAGTTTCCCAGATGCCCCGCCATCTCCACTCGACCTCCCTGAAGAAGTCTCCCCAGGTCTCAGTGGCTCGTCAGGTGACCAACCATTCCAGTCTGCTCAGGACTGACAGGTTTTCTGGGACTCAACACTACTAGTGCTAAAACCGGCACATTCCCAGGCAACTTAGATGAGTTCATAACTGGTTAGGAATGGACCACATGACTGCCTAAATCAGTCACTGGGTAGGGGAACGGATTGCCTTGACTAGTTTAGACAGAGCAGGATGTACCCCCAGAAGCAACAGAGAAGGCGATCTTACCTGAATATGGAATAATGAATACCCAAACAAAACCTACTTTCTTACAGTGAGGAAGAGGGGGGAAAGCTGTTGGGTAGCCAACCAGCAGGGCTAACTTACCCATAAAATGGGATACCGTGATAATTCTCACCAAGTGACCTTGTGAGGGTTATATACAATGACATGTGACAGTGCCTTACCTGGAGAACCAACACAGCAGCTTTTTATTTAGCACTTGTGTATGCAGAGCTCATTACTTGCTAAAGGCATTACATATATTGTCATTGCATCTATACAACATTCTAGGTAACAGGGATGTAAATCCCATATTACAGATGTTTGTAAGACATGGAAAGGTTAAGTGATTAGCCCAAGGTCATACAGTTGATAGGGGTAGAGCCAGGTCTCAAGACCCAACTACTTCTGACATGACAATGCCCATCTTCATCTGTCTTCCTCACTGCCTCGAGCAATTGTGCATTAGATGTTAACTTCCCTCCTTTTAACCTCCAGCACTTGGCCCTGGGCCCAGCAAAGAGCACCCATTTACTAATTTTTTTTTAATGAATAGATGGTAACAACTGACATTCCTGTTACCATTATGATTTACAAGAACTTTTGCCTGAATTTAGGATTTCCTCCCCAAGACCTGGTCCTCTTCCAGGGATTCTTCTAGCAAATGGCAACATACACTGAGTAGCCAGATTATTATGACCACCTGATATTGTAGGCAAATTAGCTATAATTTCAAGCTGAAGTTGCTAGAGGGCCAGACCATTATAAATAGGGAAGCAGGTTGTTTACCACGCGACAGTAGAAGTGATTTTTTTTGTGAAGATATGGGTAAACAACGTGATTTAACAGCCTTTGAATGTGGGATATATTTGAACGTGAGTGGCCAGGTTATTATGACCACCCCATCAGTACTTCGTTGGGCCACCTTTTGCCTTCAATACTGCGGCGATTCTTCTTGGCACTGACTCCACGAGATGTTGAAAGGTGATGCGAGGAATCTGACACCA